ATAGATGACCTTTCACCTGTTCAATGCATTGATCCAGATCCTCCCTGGTGACAAATTACTTATATTGATTTTTGTCACCTAAATAAAAATCTGTAGTGGAGCCTCCCTCTCGTGTGTGAACCTGCTCAACACCAAAAAACTCAAATATCACCGATTGATAAGTAACTTTTTCCAATACGCAGATTTGACACAAGCAGTGATTGTGAGAGAGCGTCCTCTCCTGTCAGTACACGGGAGTACACAACAGAGGAGACGACGTGGAGCTTTATCCTCTGTGGAGAAAAGAGCTGCCACAATTAGTCCATCAGTGATAGTCCAAAGCAATCAGCCACTAATTTAATAATCATTTCATTATTTAATTCTTCAGCAAAAATGCCAAAGACTCACTGGTTTTAGCTTCTAACATGTGAATGGAGCTGCAGGTTTTGGGCTGTTGGGTGAGGGGAAAAAAACAAGCAATGTGAATAAGTCCATTTTAGTATTTTAGGTGAAATTATTAATTAATACTTGATAATGAAAATAATCATTAGTTGTAGCCCTACTGGAGAATATATGTAATATTTGATATTTGAACAGTTGAATATTTTCTAAAAGGATTCAAAAACACTAAAGCCCTTAACTTCTAAAATAAATATGTCTTCACAGATAACACTAAACAGGACAAACAATCTAGAAACACAAACTGTTCTTTATTGTTACTTTACACACGAACAGGAATAGTCTCTCATCACCCACATTGGAGTTCATTCAGATCTTCCTCTGAACTCTCACACTTGTATATCTGTCATACAATATCAAATTCGGGTGCATCCTAAAAATCACTTTTTAAAAGAGACTGGAAACCTTTCGTCAGGTCCACACTGCATAAAACTATTTTAATCAGAGCACAAAAATAATATAACTGGACATTTACAGTACGTACGGTTCACTTTGTAAGACACAAATCTTAATTTGGTTATAAATATGCATTTAATCGACCTGGAACATAAGACATAAACCTCTAGTCCTGCTAGACAACATGACGAATTCTATTTGACTTTTGAAGCATATTCAACACGATCTTATATCCGACTCATCTATGAATAAATCGTAAAGTCTGAAAGGAGTTCATGCTGCACAGGAAACTGTTCTCAGAGTGGCACTTTATTAAACACCGCCATCTAGAGGCGGCTCGCTGAAATAAAGTTCCCATGTCTCCTAACATGCCTTTTAAATTTGAATACCATTTTTAAAATATAAAAAAAAGATGTGTACCTTAGTCGAGATCAATAAATGGACAGGAAATCGTACATTTATTGTCCTGACAGATCGTACACACAAAATATCTTCAGTAATACAGTTGAAAATGAAACCAAATGTCTATTAAAAGACTCATGACTGGTTTCAGGTTATTATTACAAGTACAGATGTATTCAGCCACTAAGTAAAGCATTTATTGAAGCAAATCAAGGTTTTCTTCCTCATATCAATGGTGTGCCTAAAGACCTGAATGATGAAGTTCACAGTGCCTGAAGAAAGCAGGTGTGCACATGGTGTATCCTTGCAGTACAAGTACTATTCGGCGTTGAGGTTTATATTATGCTATCATCTCAGAAACAGACAGATGAATAAGTCAAACATCTGAACCTGCACAAAATCAAAGAGACATTTCTTTTCCTTTCTCGTTTTACAAAAAAAAAAAAAAAATCAATCGCATGATAAAAATAACATACAAGTGCAAAGTTTTGCCTTTTAAAGCTTGATTGCGTGTTTTTAAAACAGTTTAATATTGAGCACTCTCAAAGGGAATCACTGCTACAGTACTTGTTGACACGCTTCAGTCACAGGACAAGGATGTGATAAGAATCAGTGGAAATTGAGAAATATTGACAGGAATCAAGCAGTAGCACATGCATGATGGTGACGAAGAGGATGGTCGTGTCTAAAGTGACACGTTGGCATGAGGACTGAATGACATCGCTAAAATCTTTTGTACAGAAAAGCATCAATGTTTCCCTCAAGAAACAAAACACTAAAACCTTCTCATGTAGCTTTAATCTCCGCTAACGATAGCGTAACGCTGGGCTGAGTAAACCTAATAAATACACGTTGCTGCTGAAGTGTCTTTGAGCAAGACAAACATCTGGTATCCAGCTTTGGTTTTCTGTGTCCGTGATGCGAGATATCAGTGTTTGTGTTACTCCCAGCATCGGAAACATTACCCTTAAAACTGTAATTTCCATTTCTTTTCTCATTAAAACTTACAGAAAACGTTCCTATTTCTTTGTTTGGTCATTTGAGTAAAACTGGCCCATCAAAGCAGTAGTTCCTAAACCTTTATGTCTGGAGTTTATATAAACCTGGGTGTCATTTAACACTATTAATTATACGAAATTGAAGACCATATCTGGTCCGGTAAGCTGACACAACCTGAAAAAATGTATCCGATTGTGCCATAAAATTCTTTATACGACTTTTCCACATATGCAGTTGTACTCCCAAAGACCTTGCTGTGTAAAATCAGAGGGTTTCCCCTTTAAGATCAGCCTCATACCGGCTCCTTGTGGAAAGCTACTTGTTTTTGCAGCACCACCACAGGTTTGGTGACTTCAGCACCGGACAGCTCCATGTGATCTCAGAGCCACACTAGTCGCAGCATCTGTCTAAAAGAAATCATCACTTTCACAGACAATATATCCACAACAGCACGATGACACCTTCAGCACCAACATCCGTCTCAAAAGCACAGACTTGACTTTAGTACAGAAGTAGGAAAGTCCCCAAATCCTATGCTTTGAATTTAAAATGCAGTCACTTAATTACACAACAGTCCAAACTATCTGCCCCTCTAAGTAATGCTGCAGAAAGGGTACAAAGGTGTATCTTATCAGGTGGGATACTTTCAACCCTCACTCAGAGAAAAAGCAAAAAAAGGAGGAAGCACTGTGTGCAGGAAAATGACCTTTCATTCATGTTCCAGGGAACCAATAAACAAAAATGTCTCACAGCCAATAGGACGTCAAATCAAAGCTGGCTTCTCTTCCTCATAGTGGCACACTGAACAAGTTGTTGATCAAAGGAGGGAAACCTAGTTTTAAAAATCTGCCCTGGAGAGACGTTGGTAGTGAACCGACCCTTTTCCTGTGATACACTGTTATTTTCCCTACGAAGAAGAAGGAGGCAGTTTGTGGCGTACGGTGTTTTCTTTGGAACAAACAGCACTGCAGCACATCAGCTAATAGAGCCTGGCTCCCAGAGGGGAGCTCAATATAGGCCACTTTTCCTCTTCCTCCTCTTGAGCTATTAATACACCCAAACAAAAGAAAAGAGGCTTAATGAGGCAGCAACGGGGAACTCGTGCGAACTAAGTTAGAGAAGAGCTCGGCAGTTCAGATCCAAGGATTCTAGCTCTTCACACGGCCGACGGATTCTACTTTGCTGCTTCTGTTGTGGCTGAGAGTACAGTATATGCACATGGCGCCCTTTTTACGCATTATGTTTGGACCCATTTGGTGAGGCCTTTCTGAAATGGCAAAAAGCAACACAAATAGTGACAAGTGATGCATAGTTTAAAGCATAATAATGTGCTGGATATGGATATTTCAAATCCTATAAAGAATCTCAACAAAACACACACTAAGAAAATTGTCTGAGCTAAAAAACATCCAAATGATTTCATCAGTTGGACAAAACACACAGAAACCTTGATGTATGTGAAGCATTTCTTTGCATATTTGCATGAAAGGAAAGATCTCATGCAGCTTAGAGCAGCTACCTTGAAGTTAATGCTTTGGTTCAAATTCAGAGTGCATTAAAATGGAAGAAGATGAGGGGGTGTGTTTAAATGCACACAGTAGTCCAACTAGTTTGTATCCTGATCAACCAGGAGAAACTGCGTCTCGGCAGCTTCACATACTTAACACAAATACCTCCGTACACATCAAACAGAGTACAGTATTTCAAATATCACCATGAAAACAGACTAACACATACTTGCAAAAAACGATTAACAGAGCACGGCGTTTACTTTCCTAACTCTCCTGGCTAACACCAGTATTGTAACATTGGGACATTACAATATTCAGGCTATTGTTTAAAAAAAGGGGCTTTTGGTGTTTAAACACCTCAAACAGTAAAACTTCAAAGTCCCGAATTCAATCGGGCATATTCAAATGTGCAAGTAAACAAACTTGCATCAAATCAAGTGACAAACTGACAAAAACGCCCCTAAAAACAAAGTGAAAGAAGAGGTTGATGTTTCAGTTCACATCACGCACCGGGGACCAAATACTAACCAGATATCTGCCTGAAAACGAGAGCTGTCACACAGTGCAAAGATCACCACTTCAGTCATGCAGTACAACATGGTAACTAGAGCAAGGGAGGATGTCAACAACAAAAGCATCGTTTGTTTGAGGTCTGTCCTCGGGGACTTGGTGTTTCTATCAAGGGTAGATGTTTTGCAGTAGTTTTAAGACTTTGGCCAGTGACACAAGTGGCAACTTTCTGCACTATATGGCATTAAAATGTCCTAATGTAGCACCACCCTTAACTCGGAGACTTAAACCTGTCCATTACCTGATTTGATTGCATTTTCTTGGCAAATAAAACGTTCCATTTTCAAACAGTTTGGATTCATCTGAAAAGGAAGCCTCTTGAAGTTGCCCTTTGGCGTCTTGGATCTCAGAAAACTCAACCTTAAATGCCTTGACGCAATCACCTCGCACTAAGCTGATTGGAACCGCACAAGGCAAATCCACTGCTGGGGTGAACACTGGCTTGAGGATCGGACCGTAGTCCCACATCAGAGGCAAAATTAAATGTAAATATAGATCTTCTTGTGGGGTCACATCCCCTCAGGCTCAGTACTCCCCATACAACAATATAGAAAACCACACATTTGGCTGAACACACTACATCCACATTTAGTTGTTCCTATAAAAAGATGTTTACTGTTGCTTTTTTTTTTTTTTATCCTTATGAACAAGGATATTACTTTTTGTTTTGACCACTGGACATAGCTGCAGTTCAATCCCAAAAATTCACCAGCCTCCAATAAAAAAAAAAGTCCAAAGGACTTTGGTAAACATACATTTGACAACCATTAACCCGTAGCTAATGGTGTTAATCTCTTCTTACCTTTCAAAGCCTTACAGTGTCTGCATGACTGTGTAACCTACAAGAAGCACTGATGTCTGATGATTAAAGATGAATGAACAACCATGTGGCTACATGGAAACAGTCTTTTGAGCTGATAGGGTAACACTTACACACGTACACAAAAGACTCACTGTATCCACTATTTCTTTTCAGATCAGTCTGAACCATAAATAAGTTAACAATATAGCTTATCATAAATAAATCTTAGTCTGTAAAATTCACATATAAACAACCTGCTGCATCTTGTAGAGAAGTGGGCCGACGTCACGTCTTCTCTCCCTTTGACAACGAAACACAAAGAATCCATGATGTAAACACTACGACTTTCCCTTTAAAACCTCTGGCGGCGTGGACAAAGACAACGGGGCGGACAGAGAGCGAGCTGCGACTTTATGACGAGACCGAAGATGTCTCTCCAGTGTCTGTCTGGGCCTGGGGCAGTAGGGCCGCCCCTTTTCTCATTGTGGACACTGGAGACAACTTCTTCCTGGTCCGGTCCCTGATTGAAACAGTCTGTGTGTGAAAGAGAGAGAGAGAGAGAGAGAGAGAGAGAGAGAGAGAGAGAGAGAGAAATGAAAAGGAATAGGCTATTGCTAGTGAAGGTTGATTGACTGATATTGAGGTGTTGCTGCTCCTGCTGCATGCTTTGGAGACGTGCGGACGTCCATGCAATCGAGCCAGATGCAGAGAGCTGCCAGGGACGGAGAGAGCCGTCTCCACGCCGGTCCGAGCCATCCTGTGGTTCGTAAAACTGTCTGAATTTCCCTTTTTCTTTTTCCTCCTCTCGCTGTCTTACTGTCCTTCTGAGAAGTGAAAGGCCGGATGCGCCGGTTGGTGCTCGGAGTCGGTTCCCAGGGCCAAGGGCGTGGTGAGAGGCGTGCTGTTGGAAGGCTGCGGCTTGGTGTTGCCCTCTGGGAAAGTCTTCTCCTGCGACTGGGAGGAGGACGACGAGGAACGGGTGCTCTCACTGGAACTGCTGCGGGTCTCTGTGCTGGTACTTGTCTTTTTCATCTTCCTCCTCTTGGCTAGTGGCGCTTTGTCCACCGTTTGCAGGCGGAAACCTTCCCGCTTACATTTGTTGAATGCCTAGGACAAAGAAAAGGGGATTGGTGAGCCAGATGTTTTCCAAGGGATGCACCCATCCTGGGATGCAACTCATGATTATCCTAGTAATTATTTAAGAACACCCGTTTTACTTTGGTTAATTAACATAACGAATCTAATAATAATCTGTGTTTAAGAGTGGCTTTCCGTAAAGTTCATGAGCAGCAGCAGGTTTACACACGGAAGCCCAAAGTTCCTAACCTGACCTAAAGACTTCCTGACCTACATCTGAAACAAGCGTGCACTGCTGGGCCTTTCTTACATTAAAGGTAGCTTTGACGTAAGTGTGGACGGAGGCAGTGGAGGAGCCAAGAATGTCCGGCGTCATGAGTGGGTTGGAGGACAGCTGGCTGTCGTCCTGGAGCCAGGCATTGTAACGCAGGCCGCACATCTTAATCCTCTTGTTTGGGTCCACTGTCAGCAGCTCTGCAGGAACAACACACAGATAATTACCTTCGGTGCTCCAAATACGTGAGTGAGGAGGCGATTTCCTCTTCAGGTAGCTCAGTCGATGTGAGCTACTTTGTGGGTTAAAAGTTCAATCTATGATCCAATTGTTTAGTCAATTGTAACTCTTGGTTACAAGTGGGATTACACCTGTACTTTGTATGTTCTTAATATGGGAGAGAATGTGTCACGAACAGATTCAAATGTAAATGTGCTCTAACCCACAGCTCCAAGGTGACATAACATCTAACTTCCAGCTCAGTTCAAGACTCTGGCGTTAAGAACAAGCCACCAGGTCCATCCTCACCCTGGATCAGGTCCTTGGCCTGCTGGGACACATTCCTCCAGGCCTCGCCTTCAAAGGAGAAGTCTCCCTGCTTGATTTTCGTCATAATTTCCTCAGCGCTGGTGTGGCTCAGGCTCTTCTCCTGACATTGAAAAGGCACCTGCCCAGACAACATGGTGTACTGCAAACAAGAGGACAAACCCCACAATCTGTTTAGTTAAAATGGAAAATGGAATCATTTTGTACAGTCAGTGTGGGGCAGGATATGCTACATTTCGCCTACAATGAGCTGGGAGAGTTTACTGTGTTCTAACTAATCTGCTGTTGGAATAAACACATGCTTTGAAGGAGCTCTTGACCGATCACGACTGTCCACGATATTCCACTGTTATGCTGCATGTTGTTGGCCGTGGCTGAGCCAGCACTGAACAGAAGAGCGCTCTGTGCTCAGATGAGTGAACAGGATGCGCTCACCTTGGCCCACTTACATCTGATTTCTCATTATAATGACAGGGGTTGGGAACAACCCTTTTGGCAGTGGAGGATCAGTCCTGAACGCTCCCTCCCTCTCTGTGTCGGCTCACTTTGCTTCCAGGGCTTTGTGCACACGGCTTGTCAGTACCCATTTCGTCAAAGCTCCATGAGGCACACTACTCTCATATCCCCCCCAGGGGGCGTCGGTGTGAACTTGCACAGAGAGCCCAGATTGTGTTCGGATGACCGGCCAAGTACAGAGATCTCTCTCTCTCTCAACTCTCTGCACTCTCCTTTGAATTTTCCTCCTCTACACAGAGAAAGGTTGGATTAAGACGACGTCTCCGCTTTGGGGAAGTAACGTGTCGTATTAGTGCCGTGTTTAACCAGCTCTGAGAGCCGGGCCGATTGCTCTTCGCTCCGTGGTGAGCGTTAAACTGTGTCAGCTCACCACAGGATGCTGAAGGTTGTCGTGCTAAACAAGAGAGGGAGATGAATATCATGCAAATACGAATAAACCGAACATGCATACATTACATGTGTGCATTCAGACGCTGTATGGAGCTCATGGTTAAACAGTAATTTGGTTTTAGAAATGCTTTGGTTAACATTCAAAGTGGCTCAGAGCTGAGGATTTTATTTATTTTTTTTCAAAATATAGATTGATATAATCAGGTCACTTTCCTGCAGCATTGTGGAACGTGGTAGACTAAACTAGGCCTGAGCTAGCTATCAAATAACGATGCTCCTGAATAGAGCTAATCAAGGATCTATTATTCAAGCCTACTCCTGACTGAGCATCAGTGTCTTCAAACTGAAGGCATCATTCTGATGAGGGGCTTAAGCTTCCTCAGTAGCTTTTAACCTGATCATGTCAAAAAGCCTAATTTAAACATGATGCATATTATGAATTATAAAATCTTAATACACTCTGGTTTTTAAAAGTTAAATCACATTCTCTTTGCATAAATGTTTGCAGATTTGTTTCTCGAGCAAAGCAACATCTCTGACCATTAATCATTTGGATTGTTTACAATCTTTGTTCAAATTGCTGTAACATAAAATACTTAACGGGCGGCTGCTTTGATTATTTCCCATGGGGATGATGTGGAGTTAATAATGAATGATTCTCCATCAGTTCAGATTTGATGTTAACCGGAGCAGGGCTCTGGTGTCCCACACTCACTCACCAGAATGACCCCCAGACTCCACAGGTCACAGGACTCATCATAGCCGTCGTACTTGAGTATCTCTGGTGCTGCGTACTGCAGGGTGAAGCAGGGAGTCTTCAGGAGTTGATTGTCTGGTGGTTTGAGGCGAGCAAAGCCGAAGTCTATGATTTTTATCTCCGAGTTCTCACTCTCGTCTGTGAAGAGCAGGTTCTACGAAGCAATTGGAGACATGAACAGCAATCATTTCTTTCTGCTCGGTAAAACTGGTCCGCTCAAGAGTGAACCAAATTAGACATCAAGACTTGTCTGACCAGGTACTTTTGACCCACGTTAGGGTCAAACAATTTTACTCTTGTTTTGTGGAAGATTGCAGAGTCAGAATGGCAATACGACACATCATAACAAGTTCAGAGAAACACAGTCATTCCTTTTTAAAAGCTTATGATCCAGTGTGTCTGTATTCATAAAAAAAAAAAACACAGACAGACAGAAAACAATGTTGAGCAGCAGTCCTGCTGAGTGCGTGTCCAATACCTCCGGTTTAAGGTCCCTGTGCACCACTCCGACGTCGTGCATGTGACTGACGGCCGACACCAGTTTTCTCATGATGCGGCTGGCCTCCGTTTCGCTGAAATGCTGCTTCCTGCGGATCCTCTCCAGCAGCTCCCCTCCACCGAGCAGCTCCAGAACCAGGAACGTGTGGAGCTACAGCAAACACACAGGAGCACACACACTACATTTACACTTCTCACCAACCTCTGTTACACTCAATTGTAACCCATATACTCCGATATCCTCTGAAATTGCTTTTACAGCTTGAAGTGCATGTTGGAAGCAGCTGAATCTTAACGTGTGAAATGGTGGATGAGAATTTTTCTGTTGCATAATAAATATAAAGAGAAAAAATAAAAAAGCCCATTCCTGATGTTGAGATCAAACTATAATGGTATTGAGTAAAAGTGAAAGGGGCAAACAAAGTGGGAAGGGAATAATGTGTCTGGGCGGCGGGGTAGAGTTTCTCATTAGCGCTGGGCTTTGGGAACAAAAGCAGGACTCGGTTGAGGCGAAGCGAGGCAGCGCTGCTTTGATCTGGGTCACAGGCCTCTGAGGTACAGTAATAACCCCACTGAGCTCATCAGGACTAAAGTGGTGCTCCTGGGCTTGAAGGACCGGTGCTAATGAACCTGTACACAGTCAGCCACACGGACGCACCATCGCAATAACCGAGGTAAGCTACGGTTTGAACACATGCACACTTAGTTTGGTTCAAGTGTGCGGCTCGATTAGCAACACGAGTAAATCTAGGTTGTTTCTGTTTGGTGGCAAGAAATGGACGTTTGAACAGCTACAGTTTAAAAATACCTTTAGTGTGAAACATCGAGAACACGGGGAGATGTTTATAGGACAATGCATGGAGAGATAAAGAAAGACCTCGAGGGCTTCTAGCATCTCCCTTAATCAACCTTGTTCCAGTTCCAGGACTTGTTTGAGCTGCAGTCTCAACAGGCTCCAACAGAATTCACGGTCACAGTTGCATCCTTTAAGTTGTGAACCTTACCTGGTCGTGGTAAATTTCATGTAACTTGACAATGTTAGGGTGGCCATCACAGAGCTTCAGGGCCGCCATTTCCCGCTGCGTCTGTGCCTCCATCCTACAGCAAACACATGCAGGAACCAGATCACAGTCACGAAATACAACGTAAACACACACACACACACACACACACACACACACACACACTAGAGGCACAAAGTCACTTTTGCAGAGGAAGGTTTTTGGAATTATTTAACAGGTTTTCAATTGACTTTTTGGTCCATACTGGGCACTTTGGATTCAAGTGTCTTTGATTTATTAGCAAATAATGAAGTCAGTATAATGTAAGAAGAGAGGCTAAAGCAGGGTTTAGAAAAGAAAACAGAATATTACCTTTCTACTTTTTGTATGACATTTGTACAGTACAAGAGTGAGTTGTGTGGGCCGGGCATTTTGTTCTGCTTTGTTCTTTTCCCACAATGTTCAATTTTTGATTTCAGAGTCATTTCTATCCTTTTTAAAGTGCAGTTTTGCTCTGCTGATTGTTTTCACCCCGACACGGACATATTGGGCTCACGCGTTTGTGTCCGGTGGATTGCCTTAGTGAGGCTCACTCTTATTAGAGCCATAATATGTGAGTGTTGGAGTGTAGTGTAGGACTGCAGTCAACACACACGATCAAAGCTTGTTGTTTTTTAGCAGTTTACAGCAAAAATAAACAGGTTTGTGAGCAGAGATGCATTTACATATATTCAACCCACGTCTGGCAACCTTTAACAGACTAATAAGGCAAATAAAATCAGAGAAATGTGACATTATTTAGCGTTCATCAAATTAAGACCCCAAACTAATTTCATATACTTTGAAAGATTATGTTTAGAGTAGGCTGATAAGGGTCCAACTTCTGCCAGGGGGAGGTGGAGGGTGGCCGACTGATTTATCCAGTGAAACTATAAACATCACACAGCCAGAAGCATCGGAGTAGACAAACACAGAGGAGCAGGCAGGATGTGAGTTTGTACCTCTTGCTGACGATCTTGACTGCGTATTTCTGTCCGGTCTTCTTGTGTGTGCACGGTCTGCAGATGGAGAAGCTGCCCTCTCCTAAAGCACTGTCCTTCAGGTCCATCTCATAACTCACATAGAACAATGAGTCCTGCAGAGCAACAGAGGACCAAAACAAGATGTTTGGTGAAATAAACATTTAAAACGGAAATCACTAAAGGGTTCCATAATTACAAATGGCCTCAATTAAAGAATGGTCTCAATGTTGTGAGGTCTTTCATTAAAGTATAGTTAAATAAAGACTTTGCACACTCTGATTGCAGTTTTTAATCTTTTCTTTAAAGAATACTGGAACTACTGCTGCTTACATTACATAAATCACTTTTCTTGATATTCCATATTATGTCTCTTTCTCTACACAAAGATTCATACAGGTGAGGAATAAACGTCTTCTTAAATTGAAGTCTGATCTAGAGTTCTTATTTACAGCATTTATATTAAACATGCCACCTAATTCAATAACTACTGAACAGCCTGAAACCTGGAGTCTCTTAACTGCTGTGTCTCTGCATTTTTTAAATTTTCTTAAAACGTTTATCACCACCCAGTGATCTGCAGCAGTCCATGAAATCCATTTCAGGGAGCAACCCAGTACACTTCTCTTGTTGTGCAACGTTCTGAAGTTTCAGTTGCACACAAAAGAGAAACGTGGAAGTGACAAATGTATGAAAATCTAGATTATCCAGATCTGTACTAAGATATTAAAGATCACTGCAAGACAAGTAGCTGTTCAGCAGCTTCCTGTTTGTGACAGAGAATGGCATAAAAACATGTAGAGCACGGTGAGCTGAGGTCTTTTTGAAATTGTGAGCACATTTGGAGCATATTGTTCCCCGACTGCATGGCTGAAACTTCCCTTTTAATTTGAATTAAACATTGCGAAGAGGTTTTTGGCTGAAAAGCACTAAAAAGATGAATTATAATCCTGACCACCAATATACCAAATTTGATAATAAATCTTGAAAAACAGCACAGTTTGCAGAAGGTACCCAGGATGTTGATGGTAAGATTGGAACCCAATGAACCCACAAAAGGCAGCGCTCTGCTACCTTCTCAAATGCATTACGTTGAACAGAAAACACAAGTGCATTGATCAACAAGCATCGTTAAATAAACAGGGCCGTTCCTGAAAACTGAGTAAAACAAGTACAGTAGGAAAAAAAAAGTTTGAGTGGAGAGAAGGAGGAAAAAATATCATGTCTGTGCAGCAGCCATTAGCGTAAGTGTGTTTGTGGCGGGGGATCCAAGTCCATTCATCTTACCTTCATCATGGCGCTTCGGGCCACCGCAGCAGAGCCCGGCCTCTCGGAGCCTCCGCACAGCTGGACAGGGTCGTCCATCACCACATTCCTCTTGAACAGGATGGAGGGGGCCATGAAAGAGTAGCCCTGCACACAGGAACACATGAACTCTACGTGTTTACGTTTAAAATGAGGGTCGGACTATAAGGACAGAGGGAAATGAAACAACCAATGCTGCAGTTTACAGCCTCAGAAATAGCTTGAAGCATTAAAATCCTCCTGATTACACTATATGTTATACATTACAGTCATTTATAGGCACTTAATGTGCTTTATATAGTTCCATATTTACAGTAAAACTTGTTTTTCTTCAGATGCTTCTATATCAAACCAGCCTGTCAGCTCCACAAATAACCCAATTCTGTAAATGTGTGAGTGACAGTGGCTGTCCAGCTGTTCCTATTGTTAGGCCTGTCATTGTGGAGCGCTGCCTGCTTAATTCCAGCTGTGGGGAACCCAAAGCTTTGAGATGGCATTAATCTCTCTCTCCCTTCCCCCCTCCCCCCTTCCCCCCCCCCGACACACACACAGCTGTTTGGTATGTAGTGACAGCCATGGATGGACGGAAGGATGGGTGGTGAATGAATGAGATGCCCTAAATTGCCAGGCTTGAATATTTGATTGCTCTGCTGTGAAATTACATCTTGGCGCTCTTAATGCAATTTTAATTTTGTTTTGTGAGGCACCGTGGGGGAGCAAGTGCACGATTTAAAATTGGGATTGCTGTCGTTATCTCAGAGATTGCTAGGCTTGCAAATTATAAAGAACCCAAAATTTCAGACTATGTGAATAGCAGCTGAGAGCGAAAAAAAGCCAAGATGAAGTTGGCAATCAAAGACTGAAGGCGTAACCGAGACAGACGTGATGATGCTCTCAAAGTGTAACCTTTTATTCCACGAGAGAAGCCCGTTAATGGATCTATTGATCTGCCGAGCTCAAGCATCCAGAAGGCAATCAGAGTTGAAATTTCATGCAATACATCAGACAGCCATCAGCTGGCACAGAGTTGTGGGCCATATTATGGTTCAAAGCTACATCAAAAATAGTCATTCACATCTGTTACTTCAATAAGAGCTGCATATGGCAGCAATTACTTCAATAAAAGACTCTTTAGTCAATTTGAAATACCAGTGCACACAGACAGACTCATGTTGACTTACAGCAACCTTTTGAGGACATTCAAAACTTCAGTTGATTACTTGAATTGCTCTGGAGTATGACAAATATAGTCGCAGACAAAAAGTGGATAATGTATAATGCAATTTTTCATCCGTGTCAACATCTCACACGGCCTGCTACCGAAGCCCGGACGAAACACGAGCACAAAGCAGATATAAGTGGCGTCCTGTGCAATGACCTGCAGGGAGCACAAAGCAATGTTCCTCTATGTAAACAACTAAACAATGAGTCACAAACCCAGAACTCCCACCTGAAAGATGCGGTCACAGTTCTGAGGCAGCGCTGCGGGAGAGTAGGTAGGGTCCATCTCTGTGAACTCCTCTGCAAAGTTGCTGACATCCAGCTCATCTCGAATCACCGGCTTAAACGGGGCAGGCACCTTCTTAGCTGCCAAGTCCTCCCAGTTTATTTTCTAAAGTGAGTTTAGAAAAAGAAAAACATTGTGGCTCATCCCCCATCCGTATTAACCTAGCTTATACAAACACTCAGTCTTTCCTAAATGCTACTCACTCAAAAGCAGCCCTGTTATGTGGAGTAACAGCCCACCCTGCCACTTACGTTTTCTAAATATTGTGAAATATTCAAGACAAGCAATGAGCTCCACCTGGTAAAACGGGTGTTTTTTGACATTCTCCGCTCCATTAGGACTCGAGCCCAGTCTCTTCTTTGGATCTTTGACGAGGAGTCGCTGGATGAGGTCTTTGGCCAGAGGTCCCATATCTTTGGGGAACGGAGGGTCCTTTTTTAAAATCCTCCTGTGACGTGTGAGACAGACATGGTCAGTGTTGCAGAGTGATTTAACAGAAGGTTGGCTGAAACCTGTGGCTGACGATCAGGGAGAATCCATACTTGGCAATGTCTGTGTGCGAGTTCTCATTTCCATCAACGGTGAAGGGTGATCCGCCAGTCAAAAGCTCATACATCAACACGCCGAGGCTCCACCAGTCCACCGCCTGGAATGCATGAAAGCAACCAGCCGTGACTTTGGTTTAACAGACGAAACGAAGAAATCTCACTGGAGAGCTCACGCATTCAGGGATACAGAGCGGAGAGCCTGGGCTGCTTGATTTGATCAAACAGATGACAGCATAAAACATAAAACTACAAATTACCTTGTCATGTCCAGACTCTCCTCCTTCCACAATTTCTGGAGCCATATATTCAATGGTGCCACAGACAGAAAACGCCCTTTCCACCTGTTTTAACAAAGGGACAAATAAAAAGACACACCTTAGAATCAAAACATGACAAAAGATAATTCTTAGTGCCTATGCCTGCAAGAGGGCGGGACTTTGTGTTCACATTTCAAGTAGTGAATATATAAGAAAAATAATCTTTGCCAATGTCTTATGAGGAAGGAAATGCATTCATCAAGTTCGTTCCGACCTCAAGGATCCAAACAATGCGTTTTGGTGACAAAACACACACACACACACACACACACACACACACACACACACACACACA